TATTTGCTTCTCGATCCAAGTGTATGGAACCTAGTTCCATTGATGATGAACCCATTAAATCTCTTGGCCACATCATTAGGCCCTTTACCAAGTGCTAAAATTTCATCCGAAATGCTTGGATCATTCATGCTTAAAACCTATAATAACAAAAATTGAATGAAGTTAGTATTAATATACTTTAATTCCTAATGTTTAATATGTCACCTAGTTCAATTACTTACCTTTTGTTGAAACCAACTATGAAATTTTTCATCAAGTAGTCTTTCAATATCCTCACTTCTAAGACGAGCATGTCGACGTCATTTTTTCATTCTAAATCAATGAATTCTCTACATGTGAAAATTTTTAACGTATTAAATAAGAATATGTTTTATAGAATTAGTAGTATACTTTATTAAATTAAAAGAACTTACAAGAAAAAATGTTCAATTTCATCGCAATGACGTAAAATATAACGATGTGCCTAAATCAAAGCCTTATTGTCCAATTGTATGGCTTCAACTTTTCCAATTAGTTGACCGACACTTTTGAACAAATATTTGACTCTTTGTTCATTTGAAGGAGGATCGAGATTTCTCAAAGGTCGATTGAATCTTGTTTCAACTCCTTCTAGGTATCTTGAACAAAATGTCAAACATTCTTCAGCCACATACCCTTCTACAATTGGTCCTTCCGGTCGAGCTCTATTACGAACATATAACTTCAAACGCACAAATTGCTTAAGAAATTTATTAATCTTAGTTAAGTAAATATGATCATCAAAATATGAAGGAAAGGAAAATTAATTACTATGATGTACCTTTCTTGAGGATACATCCATCTATATGGCATCGGACCACCAAGCTTTGCCTCCTCCGCTAAATGAACGAGTTAAATGCACCATAACGAGTGAAGAATGATGGTAAAAAAATCCTTTCCATCCGACAAAGAGCCAAAACAATACGGTTTTGAATCTTATCAAGTTCATTCATATCTAGGACCTTTGAGTATATTGCTTTAAAGAAAGCAAACAATTTAATTATCACCGAAGTTACCTCTTTAGATGGACTACATGCTCTTAATGCTATCGGTAGGAGATCTTCAATCAAAATATGACAATCATAACTTTTAAGACCAATTAATTTTTGATCTTTAAGATTTACACATCTTGAAATGTTAGATGCATAGCCATCGTGCAATTTTAAAGAATGAAGAATTTTGCAAAGATTTCTCTTTCTGCTATTGACATTGTAAAACAAGCGTAAGGCAATTTGCTTTTACCATTATCAAGCACTTGAGGGTGAAGATCAAACCTAATACCCAAATCCATTAAGTCAAGACGTGCATTTAAATTGTCCTTTGACTTAGTAGCATGATTCATTAAGGTTCCAATCACATACGTTTTTTTCAATATGCATCACATCAAGATTATGACGTAACAAGTTAAACTCCCAATAAGGTAATTCAAAAAATATGCTTTTTTTCTTCCACCACCTTTTTGCATCCTCAACATCACTACATGTGTTAACTATCCCTTCAATATTTGAGCCCCCAATATTATTTTTGATCCTTTTTTTTGTTCACAACCCTTTTTCTTTTATCACGTTGTACTAATTTTCCAAAAGTATAATCTATGTCATTTAACCGTTACAAGACGTCACTATCACTTTTTCTAGATGGTGTCATTTGTAGCTCTTTTGTACCATCAAAATAATCTTTTTGATGACGAAATATATGATCATAAGGTAACCATCGATGATGACCTATGAAACAATGCTTCTTACTTTTGTACAACCATTTAGAACACGTTGACTCAAGACTAACATGGACATGTAAAATTTCCTTTCGTACTCCAACCGGATAAATTTGCATAAGTAGGAAAATCATTTATTGTCCACATCAAAGTAGCTCGCATGTTAAATGATTATTTTTTAGAAGCATCATAAGTCTCTACACCTATCCATAATTTTTTCAAATCTCGCTATCAAAGGTTGTAAATAAACATCTATGTCATTTCCTGGATCGTTCTCACTCGGAATAATCATTGATAATATGAATGATGATTGTTTCATACAAATCCAAGGTGAAGTATAATATATAATCAATACAACAAGCCATGTGCTATATGTAGTGCTCATTGTTCTAAAAGGATTAAAACCATCACTAGCAAGAGCAAGCCTTACATTACGAGAATCGAAGCAAAATCGGGAGATCGAGCATCAAAATTTTTCCATGCTTCTCCATCAGCAGGATGCCTTAATAATCCATCTTTCTTACGACCTTCCTCATGCCACCTCATATCACTAGCCGTTTTGTTTGAATAAAATAACCTTTGCAAATGAGGTATTAAAGGAAAATAATGCAACACTTTTGCTGGTATTTTCTTCATAGCACCTAAACTTTTCATTTGACCGTTATCACCTTCCGTGTTGTTTTGTCCTTTTTTTTGCCACCAAGGAGTACCACATTTATCACATACTTCAAGATCTTTTTTATCACCCCAAAATAACATACAATCATTTGGAAAAGCTTTTATCTTCTCATAATCAAGACCTAAAGCTTTAATGATTTTTTTTTTTGCCTCATAAAATGATTTAGGCAACAATATGCCTTCGGAAATGCAATAGCCAATAACTCTAATAACATAGTAAATGATTTCTCAGTCCATCCATTTAATTACTACATAGTAAAGGCTTTTATCTTGTTCTACATCAAATCTTTGACATTGCTCATTCATTTCATCATTCATTTGTTGATCATGAGTTTTATCACATTCATGTTCATTTATGTTATTTATATTCATTGTCATTTCATTACCACATTGACCAACTACACCAAAAGCATCATCTAACAACCCTACCATATCATCTGATCGTTGTGGATTCACATCAATAGAAGGTGGTTTTTGAATAGAATTCACTTCTTGTAAATGTGAGGTAGAAACATAAGAAGATGACCTAATGTTACTAAAAGAAGAACTCTCTCCATGAAAAACCCACCGGGTAGACCCCTTAAAAACCCATCACAAATTAAGTGAACTCTAGCATCTTCATATGTTTGTAAAGAAGAATTACCACATCGAATACAAGGACAAAAAAGTTTTTCACCATAAGATGTATTACGAAATGCTAATTCAAGAAATTCCTCAACTCCTTTTTTATTTTCAGTACTAGTTCTAGTCTTGTTCATCCAACTTCTATCCATTTCATAAATATTATAGAATCTCTAAAAGAATACTATAATTCTTTTTCAATAAAAAAAATAAAAGAACAAACCTAGTTATATCTTTAAATACCAATCAACACATTTAGCACTTAACACTTTTATAGTCTCAAATATCAATAACCAATTGATTGCAAACAAAATATGAAGGAAAGGGAAATTTACCTTGAAGTAGTCTATTGTTCCACCATAGAAAATACCTAAAAAAAATAGTTTTATTAGTTAGAACAAAAAAATAAACTTATCCACCGTATAATAAAAAAAATAAATAAATAAACTAAATGTTCTTTATATATATATTTACAAATAGTAAAGTATTTTTTATTTAATTTTTGTATCAATCAAAATTAAATATATCAATTTTTGAATTAAATTACTACCAAAACATGCTTAATTTTGATCAATTTTAAAATCTAAATTCTTTAAATCCATATCGTATGGATCATCTTGATCCTAATACGTAGCCAACGTATCCGAAAGACATCCAACATTTGCATATTCCAAGTTAGCAAGATGTCATTCAAGCAATTGCCTCTCCTCGGTAGATCTAGCCACACCATACGGTTGCTCGAGTCTCTCCAAAACGAACTAAGAGAAATATCGTTTGCAAATCCACCCATCATTTCTTTTAGTTCCATCACTTTGTCAAGCAACTTATTATGAATGATTTCAATATTGGAATCAATTCCCTTATCAACGGGTGCACCATCCGGTTTGTACAAAAGGCAGCTTATCTTGGCCCTTATGAAGTGGAATAGAAAGTTATCTAGCCAAAACTCCAAGAGGATTGGCACGAATACCAGCTTATAACACTGCCACCAAGATCTTCGAGCAGCAAATTGACCCTTCCTACCCATCTTTTGAGTATAAACTCTCCCCCAGGACGAGTCCTACCTTCTGAACAATGACCTTGAAACCAAAGGACATGAGCCGCTTTCGTTGCAGATAAACCAGACAAGTCCAAGCACCAATAATTATCACGGACCCTTCATCCCTATCCTATCTTGAACTAAGATTACCCTAACCTATCAATTGCCATACACCATGATTGCACTCTAGCTAACTCCTTATTGTTAGTTGTCAATGAAGTGCTATGGTTTTATTTCCATTTATACTCCGATGCTTTCTTTTCATAGTCTTTCCTTCTACAAGATTTTAGTTTCATAATTTCCAAGCCCACTACATTAGACAAAATTATCTAACTCCCACTTGATATAATTTGGGCCAATGCCTAACATGCATAAAGGAATCAGGTCGGAGACTTGAGAGATGTACAAAAGCCATTTCTTTTTCGTAGAGTCGCTCCTGCTCGTAAAGAGGAAGAGTAAGAGCAACGAGTAGAAGAAAAAGGGGAGTGATAAAAGAAGCGAAAGTGAGTGGATTGACAAAAGAGAGCTCGTTTTTAATTACTCTACATATTCTAATAAATCCAAAATACTAGACCATGCATCACAACTCGGCGACACACTCACATTAAAGCACTAAGGCCAAGCCCTTCGTTGATACTACTAAGTGCCTCCGTTGATGCGTGCGATACTATACTCCGTAATTAAGGAAAAGCTACTTTGTTTTCTTAATGTGTGCTTGAAAGATCAAAAAAACATATGTTTAGGAAACAAATTTTTTGGATCGTCAACAATGTTACCAAGCGAGAAAAGGTTCGGACATGAGAGCTCGGATACAAAATATTTAAAGACATGAAAATCACTTCTCGCTAAGTCATCAAACCTAGAATAGAATGAATCCCCATATTGCTTTTAAATGTCGAGAGACTAGACAGAAAAAAAAAAATAGAACACATGGGTGAAAGGAATAAAGGTCGGTTCAACTTCAATCAAAGAACACTTAAAATCAAACAACTTAAAAGCTAATTAGGACAAGCAACATACTAATTCAATTTGCTAATTAGGACAAGCAATTTCATGACACAATAAGATCATTGATAGTGTCTTTGAAGTATAACATCTACGCGAACTTAAGTACTTAACCATGACACAACAATTCGGATAAGAATTGAAAACTTCTTCTTTCAAGCAAGTTTCTTAATAGGAAAGTCACATTACCTTAGGATTGCCTTGGGATACGAGAGATGTTTTTAGGACTCAAAGTAACAATCCTTCTCCAGTTTGGGAATTCTTTTGAAGACAATTGCTTTTGCTTCCCGGTGCTCTAGCTTTAAGTCACAAAATAAGAACAAGACGAGTAGCATATTAGATTGAAAATATCAAGGGAATTAAAGAAGAAAAGAGTCGGTAATCTAATTGATTGGCCACAAAATTAAACTTAGCATACTTACCATTGCGAGAGATCAATGATAAAATCAACAATGAGTACCTAATTGATTTAGAGGATAGCTATAATTTCGTTTCTAACAAAAAGGAGACAAGGACGAAGGAGAGGAGAAGAATGAAGAAGAATAGGAGAAGAAGTACGAAGCAAAGAAGAAGATTGAATAAACAGAGGAGAAGAAAAACCCCAAGAGGAAAGGGATAATGTAGCGAGGAGAAGAAAAACCCTAAGAGGAGAAGGATAATGTGGCGTTCTTTTCCCTTTCGTAACCAACAAAAAAAAAAGGTCAAGAAAGAGAGAAGAAGAACCTCGACTCGAAGGAAAGCTCTCGATAAGATCTTCCCCCTTTCAAAACCAAACAAAATTAAAAATGAGGAAGCCAAAGAGAAGAAGACGCATCAAATTGAGGAGATCGAATAAACAAATTTAGAAAGAGAAGCTCAAAAACCCTAAGAAGAGCAGGGAAGATGAAAGAGCTTAATTTTGCCGTTTTAGAACCAAACAAAAAAAAATAAAGATAAAAAATTCTTTCATTAATAAAACTCGCGCTTCGATTAAAATTTGAGGCGGTTTTGTAAATCGCCTCTCATTTGTTTTATAAAAGTACCTCCTAAAACACTTTGAGGCAGCTTATAAAGCCGTCTCAAGAATTCCGCCTCTATACGTATTCTTTGTTGTAGTGTGGGGTGTTGGTTATAGGTGACTTCATTCCGTGGCTTGCTTTCTTGGATATGCAAGAGCATATCAAGAGAATGAAGGCTACAGCCAAGAAGATGGATGTGTTTATGCAGCATGTGTTAGAGGAGCATTATGCTAGGAGAAAAGGGGTGAAGGAATATGAGCCTAGGGATATGTTGAATATCCTTGTGCAGGTAGCTGAGAATCCCAATCTTGAGGTAAAGCTTGATAGAATTGGAGTCAAGGCATTTACACAGGTATGCTCTAAACTTTTTTTTTTCCGGATCATTTGTTCCTTTTCAATTTGTTGAATTAGTGATTAGACAACAGTTTTGCATACCATGTGCGTAGGAAAAATAGACATGGGAGGCGTTCAATTAACCAAACTATATAATTTTTTATTATTATTTCTCGTAGATCTATGGGTTTTTGGATTATATATTGAGATAATCGTCTCTTATTATATAATCATAAAAAAATGAAGCAATTAGGATTCAAATTTTATTTCACTAGAAAACTAATTAAATATACAACCGGTTAGACTAAACTTGTTTGTGTATTTTTTAAGTATTTTAAAAATTTTAGGTGCCCATCATTTTTCATGATATCATATTTGATGGGATTGCGTTAAAAAATTATTAGAGGAAAATATATTAATAGTACATGACAAAGATGCTTAGAACAGGAATTTGACTCTTTTTTGAGAATATATGCTTTTGAACATTTTTTTCCCACGCACTGGATCAATGATGTGTCTTCTTATAAAATGATGCATGTGGTGCTCATGAAAAATAGAAGTAGAAGAAATGGACAGAATAATAAAGAAAACGAGGAAAACAAAAGGGTGAATACAATTGGTGTATTTTTTTTTTTTTAACAAGCTATCATTGGTTAATGTCAATCTTTTGCATTATTTAACTTATGTAATGCTAATTGATTATTTATTCTTCAGGACTTGATTATTGGCGGAACCCAGAGCTCAGCAGTAACAACCGAATGGACAATGGCCGAAATCATGAAAAAACCAGAGATATTTAAGAAGGCAACAGAAGAGCTAGATAGAGTAATCGGGAGAGAGAGATGGGTACGAGAGAATGACATTGATAGTTTACCATATATTAATGCAATTGTGAAGGAGACTATGCGTTTGCATCCAGTGGCACCATTACTTGTACCGAGACTTGCTCGTGAAGATATTGAAATTGCTGGTTATGATATCCCGAGAGGAACTCGTGTCTTTGTAAATGCATCAGCTATAGGAAGGGATCCAAGCATATGGGACAACCCAAATGAATTTTGTCCTGAGAGATTTATTGGTAAGACTATTGATGTTAAAGGTCATGATTTCGAGCTGCTGCCATTTGGAGCTGGAAGGAGGATATGTCCCGGGTATCCTCTAGGGTTAAAGGTTATTCAAACAAGTGTGGCAAATCTTTTGCAAGGATTTAAATGGAAACTACCTGGTAAGATGACAACAGAGGACTTGAATATGGAGGAAATTTTTGGGCTTTCTGTACCCAGAAAAGTCCCACTTGTTGCTGTTGTTGAGCCTCGACTTCCATCGGAACTTTATTCCCTATGATTGTGATGTCATTTGTCCTGAATTTTTAATTAGTTTCTTTCATGTGTTTGAAGATCTATTTGTACTCCCATCTTTTTAGTGTTTTCACATAACATTTTACTGTATGCTACGGTAAACGGTGTATTCTGTGTAATCACAATGAAGGCGTACGTCTGTTTTTTTTTTTTTTTTTTTTTTGCTCTGAGCACCCAGTATCCGCAGATCACATTGGGCCCCGACTAATCCGGATTCGAGCTGGAAGGTCCCACAAGGGGGTAAAGCTCTTCCAACATTAGCAGCTCCATCCGCAAGGTTCGAACCTGAGAACTTGCTCAAAGGAGATCAAGCACCTACCGCTCGATCCCAGCCAATGTTGGTTGTCCGTATTTCTTTTGTATTGAACCAGCGGACTTGCCCTCACCAGTCACCATGGTGGGGTTTTAATTTAAAATATATATATATTATTTTGTGATTATTACGATCCAATGCTAAAATTTCTTTACAATTAAAAACATAAATATACGGAGTTTTCTCCGGATTTAGATTTTATATTTTTGAAAATTTTTCTATTAAGACCTATTTTTTTATTTGATTAAGACCAGCCATTTGTTCTTAGAAATTTTTTCCTTCAAATCCTTTATTATAACGTTACTAAAAAGTGATCAACACATGGTATTGTAAAATAAAAAAATTTAAAAGGTAGAGATAGCGTGTTAATCACCGATTGATAATATTATAATAGAGTTTAAAGCAAAAAATCTTGAAGAGTATAGGATCTTAATTAAAACAAAAAAGGTTTAAATAAAAAAATCGAAGAATGCATGATTTAAATATAAGAAAACCCAAAAGATAAATAATATATTTCCGTAAAGATGAAAAGATTAAGAAAGAATACAAAGAAAGAGAACAATTAATACTACACAAGTGTAGAGATACATTAAATTATGCATAACACCATTTCCAAATTTCACATCAGCTAGCAAAAACTTGGCTTTTTTTTTCTTGGATCATCAAAGTCAAGAACATAACAAAAATTAGGGAATTAGTGATGGTTCGAAAATCGTCCATAAAATGCCAATCGTTAAAATTTTACGACGGTTTTCACACCGTCGCTGAAAAAAAATCGTCGCTAAAAATGATAGTAAACCGAGAAAATATTGCGACAATAAAAAAAAACCTTGCCAAAGTAGTCACAATTTAGCGACGATTTTGTTTCCCGTCGCAATAATTATTGAATTAGCAACAATTAAAACCGTTGCTAAATTGTTTTTTTTCATTTTTTTTATACCCTCAATTTCAATATCCGAAATTAACCAATTGCTATTTAAAAGTCTAATAAATATCCAAAACATAATATTTTAAAATTTCATAATTGTTATTATAAAATTTATTAAAATGTAATAAATAATATTCAATTATTAAATTCTTGAAAACAATACAAAGTTTGTTGTTATTATAAGAAAACATGATAGCTAGGAGAAATTAGCAGGATCGTCACTCGAAGGTTGGGTGGAATTGTCCGAAAGTTGGGTTGAGTTGTCGTCGGTCTCGGGCATGGTGGATGAACTACCACCTTGTTGAAAATGCTACTGAAACATCTATTGCATTTGTGTTATCATCGCATGTTGCTATCGGATGTACTCCTTCAACTCATTTGTTGTAACCAATAATGATGTGACAATACCCCATAGCTCCCAAATCTCTATCGTATTTGCAATCTGTTTGATCTTGGACTTCCTTTCGTTGTGCCTCATCACCAGCATGGAATCGTGAAGTTGTCGAACCGGATTCTATGCCGATGTTAGAGTAATAGTGAGATGCATGTGACCCGAGTCCGTACATCCTCTTCCTCTTACTATCTCTCGCCACCAACGGCCTTCCTAAAAATCTCATTAATGTTGATGTCGATCGATGAAGTCTCCTCGGTCCGTCGACTAGCAACCTCCTCCTCATGTATTAATATTTCTACGATCTCCTACATAATTTTGAAAGACATAATATTAAACAGCTATGTGAAATAACATTATAAACTAATATGTATGAAATAACATTATAAACTAAGAACTTACACCAATACCTCTTGATCGTTGATCGACGAAGACATATTGATTATCAACCTTTCTCTAATGAGTCCTCAAGAAAACTTCGTGAGGATCAAGTTCACGACCCAACACCTCACGCTGAAAAAAATATACATAAATATATTAAATATACTCAAATATTTAATTAATTATTTTAGATATCATTATAAAAATATTATATATAAATTTTTTCATGCATAATGCGTGCTCTCTATGGCCGATCGACCCCGTATGTCTTGAAAGACCAATTCCGACGCCACCGGTCTCGCTCATGCGATTTTGTGTCGCCATCTCAAATCGAGTAATGGCCTTAAGTTTTGCCCATTCCGTAGTTCATGCATCTCATATGTCCTGTGAGATAAATGTTGGCTTCGAGCTTCTCCCGGGATGAGAAAAAAGTAGAAATACCGCTTTCGTGCCGGACTTTTTCACATTTTCTTAACTTTTCTTTTGATGTTATCATCCCACATAAATGATTTCTACAAGAAAAATAATAATATCCATTAGTACATTTAATTGGATATTATTATTTCTTATTTAAATATGAAGTAATGTAATAAATTAATTAAATAAATTAGTAACTTAAACTCTTTTCGGTATAAGTCTTTTGTTTCTTGACTCATTTTCTTCCACATACCATCCGGAAATATGAACATACTCGTGAAATGTATTATAAATCATTTGAGCGTAAATATCGAGTAATACAACCTATGAAAATAGACATTAATTTAATAAATAAATAAATACATAATTATGGTAATAAAGAAAAAATATTTTATAAAATTAAGCATAAAACGTACTCATTGCAACCAATGACAATAATCGTAACTCGCGAATCAAGCGTGCATCCGATAGGTTGCAAAGTCGATAGACGAGGGACATTCTACGATAGAACTTGTTCGAAACGAACGATTGTCTTATTGTGATGAGGAGGGCATCGACAATGACGAAAGAAAAGATGGACGAGGACATAGAGGTCCATAATAAGGATACGGCTCGAGCCGAGACATGTCGGGCATCGAAGGGTATATTGCAAGGAGGGCACTAGAAGGGTGGTATGGAGGCATGTCCATAGGGGGCCCATCCGACTAGAAAAGGAAAAAGAATGGTGACGACGTTCACGATCACCGCTCGAATCGCATATCGAATCATGACCCTCACCGTATGACAGGGGCCACCGCATCCGAGGACATCCCCTACCTCGAGGCATTATAACCTTCACATTATTACATTCATTAGTATATATTAAAATTAAATATTCATTATATAATACTAACATATAACATTCATAGTAATATGAGCAATTTTAAATATATTTATTTAACGAATAACATATATCAAATAACATGAATACGGAGACATATATTTAAATATTATCTTAAAAAGTACAAGTGAACTATTTAGGACAACAAAACCATACCGTTAATTTTTTATTTTTTTAGAACAAGGATGGTACCCTAGAAATATATATATATATATATTGAAAAAACATGAAAAATTATATGGTGGAACAAAACCGATCTAACCCAACAACATGGGAGGATAAGGTTACCTAAACTCCCGATTTGCCACTCGCAATTATATAAAATCCATGTGGACAATATGTGCATTGGATATAAAAATCAATATTACATAATCTAATAGGATCTACCATATCGCTAATCAATATCATGGTCATTATTGTCACATTCTTCATCTAAGTCTTCCTCAACATCTCGTTTTAAACTCATCTTCATTCTCTATATTAATTTCACTTCCTTCTAAATCTAGTAACGCTCCAATTGGATCATTCAATGATCGACCTTCATCATCATCAACTTGGATAACATTGTGTTGGCCTTCCATTTCATTTTTTAAAAGGATTCAATATTTGTTTGGTCGACGGTAACGGACGATTCGGACATATCCACCGCCAACCTAGATTTTACCTTACATACCGCCAACCAATCATATCCGATGCATTTCGATATAGGATATATTACATTATACACCTAATGCGCTTGTGATAATAGTATGAAGGTATCGGATCTATTTAACATCCTATGACAATTGATCTCCACTAGTCTATAGTGATCATGAACTTTTATACCAACGTCGAGTGTGGTATCATACCAATCATATTTAAACAATACGATTTTCTTGATTGGTAAGGTAAGATACTCAAGTTCAAGTATATCGGTCAATCGACCGTAGCAGTCATTTTTCATCATACCGTAGTTAACTCTTTTTACACACACTCCATTACACATTGATGCTCTGTCCGAACCATAAACATCGACGTGAAACTTATACTCGTACATAATGTATCCCGGATACAATTTAGCTATTCGCAATAATCTTTTTTCGGATCTTTAATGTAATGATATGTTACGTATTAGGTTGTGCATTACTTGCTCGTAAAGTCTAGATCCATTACTTAATGTCAATATAAAATTTGATAAAATCATTTTCATAATAAAAAAAAATCTTGACTTTCTTATACTCACATATCAATAGAACCAGGATGCAAAATCAATTTTAAGCTGAACATTTACCTCGTTCTTCGATATGTAGGGATCACTTTCATAAAGTTAGGTAATAAAATATCCGAGGAAGAAAAAAATTCTTATCGGTGTTATTAAAATGATTGATACTTAATAAAGTTATGTCTAGTAATATTTGATAGTTATAGCACTTACTTCGTGTAAAGTGTCATCTCATCACGGTTCAATAAATGTAGGTATGATATGTATTTTTTTCTTAATTTGTTAAGACGTGATCTTGCTCGACTAACCGATCTACCTTTGGATTTGAATATTGCAAGCATTGTTTCAATGTCGTCACTTGATTCTTGAGAACACTCAAAGTTTTGAGGCACTTTTCGATGTCTAGTATGTACATGAGGCTCAAAGTAATATAAGCGGAACATTGAAGCTTCCTCAACTAAATATACGTTGCATA